TGCTGGAGAGAATGTGAGTTTGGTGTGGGGGGGTTGTTGTGTGGGTTGGTTGAGGGGGGAGGGAGGGGGAAGGGAATGGAGGGGAGGGAGGGAGGGGGATGAGTTTTTTTTTTGGGGGGGAAGGGAAGGGGAGGGAGGGGAGGGGGAGGGTTTTTTTTTTTTGGGGGGAGGGGGGAGGGGGTCTGGTCTGAGTTTGATGGGGTGTTGGGTGGTTGAGGGGGGAGGGGAGGGAGGAAGGGAAGGGAGGGAGGGATGGGGAGTTTTTTTTTTTTTGGGGGGGGGGAAGGGGGGGATCTGGTCTTATTTTCTCTCTCTTCGTTTTTCGACATTGTTTTTTTCTCTTCTCTTCTCTTTCTACGCTTTTTCGTCCCTGTTCCTCGTCCTCTTCCTTCTTCCCCCTCGTCTCCTGCTTTCGTTACAATTCCACTCAACTTCTAGACATTTTTAATCTTGTTATAATTGCATAGTGATAATCTAACGAAGGAACATGTACTGTCATAGACTATAAAATTCTCATTGCACGCAAAAAAAAAATAAAAAAATAAAAATAATAAAAAATAGATAATAGATAGATAAATAAATAAAGACAATAAAAAATAAAATAAATAAATGAATAAATAAAATAAAGATAATAAAAATAATAGATAATAAAATAAATAAATGAATAATCCCTCGACCCCCTCAGGAAGCGAGCCCAGGCTTGGCCAAAGGGAGCAACAAGCCCAAAGTTACGTGGGGCAAGTGGAACCCCGGCCTTAGTACCGACTGTTCAATTACCGAAGCCCATACCCGCTCCTACTCCGGCCCCCCTACTCCACTACCACTTCATTTCCTACGTTGTCCTTATCATTTATCTCTTGTGTCATTCTTCCTTCTTCTTCTTCTCTTCTTCTTCTTCTTCTTCTCTTCTCTTCTTCCTTCTTCTTCCTTCCTTCTTCTACTTCTTCCCCCTTCTTCCTACTTCCTCCTCCTCTTCTTTCCTCCTTCCTCCTCCCTCCTCCTCCTCCTCCTCCTCCTCCTCCTCCTCCTCCTCCTCCTCCTCCTCCTCCTCCTCCTCCTCCTCCACTCACCATTCCTCCATCCCATATCCCTTCTTTTCCCCTCTCTTGTTCCCCCTTCCTTTTCCTCCTCCCCTCCTCCCCTCCCCTCCCCCTTCCCTCCCCCAACCACCCCCACCTACGACCTCCTCCCCCCCTCCCTCCTCGTCCCCCCACCCCCCCCCCAAGCCCCCTCTTGGCCATCTCGGGTCCCCCCCTTCGGTACTTCACAAAGGTCCATTAAGTCACTTTGGCCTATTTTTTCCAAGTTAATTTGCGAGCCCGGTCTAATTACCCAACATGCTTGAGTCGGTCCGTCGTCTTAAAAGAAACGGACAAAGTTCTCGGGGGAAAAAAAATTAGGATGAAGTATTTTCATTCCTAAAGTCGTAATTACTTGAGGATGAGAAGAGGGAGGGAGGAGGAGAGGGAGGAGGAGAGGAGAGGGTGGGTGGCTGGGTGGAGGAGGGAGGAAGGGAGGAGGAGGAGGGGAGGAGGAGGGAGGGAGGGAGGGAGGGGAGGACAGGAGAGGGAAGGGAGGGGAGGAGAAGGGGAGGAGGGGAGAGGGGAAGGAGGAAGGAGGAGGGAGGGAAAGGGGAGGCTGACAAGGAGGGGGAGGGAGGGTAAGGCAGAGGGGGGTGGCGAAAGGCTGAAAAAAGAGGGGGTAAGGGTGAGGGGGGTATTTGTGGGTTGGGATTGGCGGGGGTTGGATCTTTTTAATCCCCCCCCCTCTGTTTTTCTTCTTTTTGGCTTGCTTCTTTTCCCGCTAATTCACTGCCTTCTGGTCCTCTCTCGGATAATCCTCACTTCCTCTAATTATCTGTCTATTACTTTATCGTTTTTTCATTCTGTTGCTCTCTCTCTATCGCTGTTTATTTATCTCTCTATTGCTATATTGTTTTTTCACTCTCGCTCTCTCTCTCTTTCCTTCTTAAATTTCCTCTCCTCTCTCTCCCCCCCTCTTTTGCCTACGTCAATATCCCGTTCTGTTCTGGGTCAGGCCAGTGAACTCTCTCTCTCTCTCTTCTCGCTCTCCCTCTTCTCCTCTTCTCGCTCTTCTGCTCTGTTGATCTCGGCCGTTGACTCCCAGTTAGTGTTCTGAAGGAAGACTCTGCTTTGAAATATACTGCCTGTGGGAAGGCACCCCCTTCCCCATCCACCCTCTCATACCCCCTCCTTATCCCGCCCCTTCCCATCCCCCTTCTCCCTTCCCCCCCTCCGTCCCTTCTTCCCTTTCCCCGTCCCTCCCTCCCCTCTTCCACCTCTGTCTCCCTCCCTCCCTATTCCTTCCCCTTCTCTCTCCCTCCCTCCTCTTATTTTCCTCCCTTCCCCCTTCCACAATCCCCTTTCCTCCCTCCTCCCTCCCTTCCCCTCCCTTCCCCCACCTCCTTTCCTCACTCCTTTCTCCTCTCACATCCTCTTTCCTCCCTTCCCCCTCCCCCACCTCCTTTCCTCCGCTCTTCCCCCCTCCCCCCACCTTCCCTTTACTCCGTCCTTTCCCACCGTCTCTCTCTCCTTTCCCCTCCCTCTCTTCACCTCCTCTCTCTCTCTCCTCCCCCCCCCCCCTTCTCTGTCTGGTTTGAGTGAAATGCTCTCTGTTGGGAAGTATTATTGGCGGAGGTGTAACTTGAGAGCGATACCAGGGCAGAGGGCCTGAGGGTATGGTGTGATCTCTCTCTTTTCTTCTGTCTGTCTGTCCTCTTCCTGTCTCTTTTCTCTTTCTCTTTCTCTCTCTTTCTCTTCTCTCTTTCTTTCTCTTTCTCTCTCTCTTTTCTCTCTTTTCTCTTCTCTCTTCTCTCTCTCTCTCTCTCTTCTCTCTCTCTCATCTCTCTCTCTCTCTCTCTCTCTCTCTCTCTCTCTCTCTCTCTCTCTCTCTCTCTCTCTCTCTCTCTCTCTCTCTCTCTCTCTCTTCCTCGGTTTATCTCTCTCCTTATTTCCCCCTTCCCTCATCTCTCTCCCTCCCTCTCTCCTCCTTTCCCCCTCCCCACATCTCTTTCTATCTATCTATTTATCTTACATCTTTCCTTCTTTCTTTTCGATGTGCGTTTGTGTATGTCTGTGTCTATGTCTGTGTCTGTGCATGCTTGCTGGTGCGTTGATATGTGTGCGTTCACGTGTCTTTGTCTGTTGTGTGTCCGTCTGGGTGTCTGAATGCTCGCGCAGACTCGCATATTTCGTGGTCCTAATCTGGATGTCCTTCCACCACCCCCCCCTCACAGACAGCCGCGGAAGTACGTGTGGTTAGCGCTGCTGGGTCTGCTGGCCGTGCACGCCGCCAAGACGCACGTGCGCAACGCTGACTGGAGGGACGAGTACACCATCTTCACCGCAGGTCTCAAGGTAGGTCCTCCTCCAAGTTCGGTTCTGCGAGTTTGGTTCTTCGAGTTTGTTCTCCGTGTTTGGTTCTGCAAGTTTGGATGTGCAAGTTCGGTTCTGCAAGTTCGGTTCGTTCTGCAAGTTCAGTTCGGTTCTCCAAGTTCGGTTCTCCAAGTTCGGTTTGTTCTGCGTACGGTTTCGGTTCATGTTTGGTTCTGCAAGTTCGGTTCTCCAAGTTCAGTTCGGTTCTGCAAGTTCGGTTCGGTTCTCCAAAGTTCAGTTCGGTTCTCCAAGTTCTGTTCTGCAAGTTCTGTTCTTCAAGTTCCCGTTCTGGTTTGTTATTCAGGTCTGGCTCCGAGTTTGAAAATATTTAATTAAGATTTGATGTAGTGCGTCTCACCTCGATGAATGTTAACAGCAAGAGGTCTGATGTAGTATGAGTATAGCGACCGGGTATAGTGTGAACACCGACACCGGGTACAGTGTTAGGTTGGAGATCAGGTCGAATACTGTGAACATGGGCATCCGATATGGTGTTGAAGTAGAAATCAAGTATAGTGTGAGTATTTTGCATTCAAACCCATGATGACACTGCAATCGTGATCCTCAATCGCACAGTGCAAAGCAGGTTTATCGAAAGACGAGCCACCTTGCAATCAATCCATTTTCTAGCCTTTTTTGTCTAGCCTTTTGCGAAACCGTCCGCTTTGAGAGTGCTCGACGTCGATGCCGACAGTTGAACACGACACGCTGCGCCGCCTGCACCCCGCGTCGGCGACTGGTGATTGGAGTGTTAATTACGGATGGATATCACGTGATCATTATCGTCATGGGGCTTCATCGTGGGACGCCCGTCGCTGCTCGTCCCTGGGTCTCCGCGCTTTGTTTCCGGTCGCCATTTGAGTGGGAGTGGAGGAGGAGTAGGAGAGGGAGTGGAGTGGGGAGAGGGGACAGAGGGAGAAGGAGTAGGAGGAGTGGAAGTGGGAGTGAGAGAGGGGGGGAGGGAGAGGGAGTGGGAGTGGGAGTGGGAATGGGAGGGGAGAAAGGGAGTGGGGGAGAGAAGGAGAGGAGGGGGAGAGGGACGGGGAGAAGGACGGAGAGAAGGAGAGGGAGAGGGAGTGGGAGTGGGAGTGGAAAGGAGAGGGAGAGGGAATGAGAGAGGAGAGGGATTGGGAATGGGAGGGAGAGGGAGAGAGTTAAATTTAGAAAATAACTTAGTTAATTCCATTTGTTACATTGGATATTCTTTGCTGTGGCTGTCTGTTTATTTATTTATTTATTTTTTTTTTATTATTCCCTGTGTGCAAGGAATGGCCGGGGTTGCCATCCACCGCAACACGACGTAGCATATGGGGTGGGGGGTGGGGGGAATGAAGAATGAAGAAAAAGAAAAAGAGAGAAAATGAGGTGGGGAAAGGATAAAAGAGAAGAAGACGAGAGAAGAGAGAGAGAGAGAGAGAGAGAGAGAGAGAGAGAGAGAGAGAGAGAGAGAGAGAGAGAGAGAGAGAGAGAGAGAGAGAGAGAGAGAGAGAGAGAGAGAGAGAGAGAGAGAGAGGAGAGAGAAGAGAGAGAGAAGAGAGTTAAGAAAGGGGAATAGATATAAAAAAAGAGAAAGAGAGATAGAGAATGAGAGAATTATGGATGGGA